TTGGCTGAAAGCAAAGAATACCAGAAAGATGTTTACTTGTGTTTTATTGACTATGCAAAAGCATTTGATTGTGTGGATCATAACAAATTGTGAATAATATTGAGAAGAATGGGAATTCCAGAACATTAAATTGTACTCATAAGGAACCTGTACATAGACCAGGAGGCTGTCGTTCAAACAGAACATAGTTTAAATTCAAGAAGGGTGTGTGTCAGGGTTGTATCCTTTTATCATACTTATTCGATCTGTATGCTGTGCAAATAATCTGAGCGGCTGGACTATATGAAGAAGAACGTGGCATCAGGATTGGAGGAAGAATCATTAACAACCTGCGATACACTGATGACACAACTTTCCTTGCTGAAAGTGAGGATGACCTTAAGAACTTACTGATAAAGATTGAAGAATACAGTCTGCAGTATGGATTACATCTCAATATAAAGAAAACAAAGATTCTCACAACTGGACCTATAAGCAGCATTACGATAAATGGAGAAAAGACTGAAATTGTCAAAGACTTCACATTGCTTGGTTCTACAATCGAGGCCAATGGAAGCAGCAGTCAGAACATCAGACAACGTACAGCTCTGGGCAAATCGGCTGCAAAAGGAGTTTTTTCAAGTGTTGAAGAGCAAAGATGTCTCCTTGAGGACTTAGGTGTGCCTGACACAAGTCATGGTATTTTCAATTGCCTCATATGCATGTGAGAGCTGAACAGTGAATAAGGAACACTGAAGAAGAGTTGATGCTTTTGAGCTGTGGTGTTGGTGAAGAATGCTGAAAGTACCATGGACTGCTAAAAGAATAACAAGTCTGTCCTGGAGGAAGTGCAGCCAGAATGCTCCTTGGATGTGAGAATGGCCAGACTTCGTCTCACATACTTTGGTCATGTTGTCAGAAGGGACCATTCCCTGGAGAAGGATGTCATGCTTGGTAAGGTGGAAGGTCGATGAAAGAGGGGAAGGCCTTCAACGAGATGGATTGATACAGTGGCAGCAGCGATGGGCTCAAGTATAGCAAGAATCATGGAGCTGGCTCAGGAACGGGCAGTGTTTCATTCTGCTGTGCATAGGGTCGCTATGAGTTGGAGACGACTCAACGGCACGTAACAACAACAATAAAAAGTTTCCCTGTACCCCTCTACAATCAATGCCTGCCCCCAGTCCCAGCCTCAGGTAATCATTGATTTGCTTTCTACCACTATGGATTTGTTTTTTTCATTCTAAAATGTCATATAAATGGATTCATATTGTGTGTATGTTTTATGTCTGGCTTTTCTCATTCAGCATACGTACTTGTATCAGCAGTTCATTCCTTTTTATGTTTGAGTAGTGTTCTGTTGGGCAAATCTGCAGCAAAAGACCTCTGTAAGTGTTAAAAATAAGTCACTTTGAGGACTAAGACGCACCTGTCCAAAACTGTGGTATTTTCAATCTCTTTATATGCCTGCAAAAGCTAGACAATGAATATGGAAGACTAAAGAAGAAATACATTTTAATTATAGTGTTGGCAAAGAACATTGAATATACCATGGACTGCCACAAGAACAAACAAATCTGTCTTGGAAGGAGTACAATCAGAATGTTCCTTAGAAGCGAGGCTGGTGAGACTTCATCTTACACCCTTTGAACATGTTATCAGGAAGGACTAATCCCTGCAGAGGCACATCATGGTTGGTAAAGCAGAGGGTCAGTGAAAAAGAGGAAAGCCCTTAACAAGATGGATTGACACAGTGGCTGCAACAATGGGTTTAAACATAGCAACGATTGTGAGGGTGGCACAGGACTTGGCAGTGTTGTATATAGGGTTGTTATGGCTCGGAAGCAATTGGATGGCACCTAACAGCAACAACATTCTATTTATGGATATACCACAGTTTGTTTGCTTAGCAGATGAGAATTTAAAAGGAAAAGCTATCTCTGCCTGCTCCCCTAGAGCCTACCATGGGGGACTACAAAGACCTCATGGGGCCTCAAATGTACACATTGGGTATGGTCTCCGATTGAAGTTATCCGTATAGTTGGAGATCAGGAATCCATGAATGCAACTGTGACCCCACAAACATAGTGCCCCATAGATCCGTACCACAATTTTGGCAAATATGCCTTTACATTTAAAACATTTATTAATATAATTGGAATTTCAAAAAGTGAAGGTGGCCTGGTTGTTTCCAGCCCCTGGGGTGCCCTTCCTGTAGTCATCTGTTTCATTGTTTAAAGACCCAGTTTCCCAAAACCCGTTCTTCCAAACTCACCTGCACAGTTGCCTGTTGCCCCTGTTCTCTTTAGTTCTGTCTTTCCCTGGGGCAGAGGAGGTTGATCCCTGCCTCCTGTCAAATAGCCACCCACACCAGATTTCTATCATCATAAAGATAATAGTCCTTTATGTTTGGACAGCACTTTTCCACTCTACAAAGCATTTTCACAACCATTATCTCATTTAATCCAAGCCACAGCCCTGTGATGTAGCAGGCCGTTTATTATATTTATCATCCACGTTTTACAGGTGAAGAAATGAGGCTAAAAAAGGGTAAGCAATTTCTCAGTGGTCATACAGCCAGGACTGTGGAGCTAGGACTAGAACTTAAATTCGTGGTGGCTGTCCTATGTTCTTTTTACTGTAGCCCCTTACCTCCTGCACTTATAAAGATTGCAGGGTGCTCCTTGGGCACCACCCTTTGTCATTACATGTGCTGAACTCATTGAAGGTAATGAATAGCATCCATTTCCTGAGTTCTTGAAACTTAAAAGACAGGATGTGTTGAGAAGGGATAATAATAATAGATAACATTTATAAGCATTTAGGCTGTATCAGGCAGTTGTGCTAGGTCTTTTAGAGATCTTATCTCTAATACAACA